GTGTTCAGTTTACCATGTTCTACAAGACTATACTAGTTTTTTCGCTTCGATATAAGTGAACTATTTGTTTTCGACCGAAATCTAAGGTTTTTGCTGGCTCCAGGAATTTTTGAGAACAACAATCGATTTTAACTCCTCTGAGATTATTGTACAATTCTATATATGACGAAAACATTCCAATGGGTCTATATAGAGGTGCGCAAGTATACTAGTTGTGATATCCTACTTAGTATACTTGAAAGTCAAGAGGAAGACTCACTAAGATGTTTTCGTCATACAATAGAATAAAAAAATAATGCTCTACTAAACACAAAAGAATAAAATCGATTGTTATTGCCGAAAATCCCAGGAGTCAATGAAAATCTTGGATTTTGATTGAAAACAAGTTTTTCACTTGTATTGAACCAGCAAAACTAATAAAGTCTTGTAGGACATGTTGAGCTGAACATTTTTAGTAGCGAGAGTAAGACATGAAAATATCGAGATATACTCGAAAATTTGATTTTTATTAAATCCAACTAGCATAGATAGTATTATTCATTCACCCAAATTAAGGGCAATTATATAATGGTAGTGGAATTCTTGGAAAAACCAACGTAGAGTCTGTTCTCGATAACAAATAGTAAACGACAGAAAAATGTTTGGTTTATCTTGTTTGTGAAAAAAATTGGTTTCTTCTATCTTTTCAATTGGCGAAGATACAGCGCTGAAAAGTCAAAAATACAAAAATGTGTATACAATCACTCCATATGTGTCTCTATGGAGTGCCTTGAAAAAATTATTTATTTATATTCTTAATAAACCACTGCTTAATAGAACATGAGATAGAACCTCGATTGAATATTTTCTTTTCTTTTACCATCGATATTATATAATGATATTTCATATAAAACATTTGGTCTTATATCACTAATCAGATTTAATAAGAACTAAAGAAAGTTTACATCATTCATGATATTCACTGCTTTATACTTTCCTTTTTGTTAGTCATTTTTAGAGTCATAAGTAAACTAAATACGTCTGTTTTTTCTCTCTCTATGTTCTATCTTATGACAAGTCAAACACAAAATCATATTTATTTTCTGTATTATGTATAACAATTGATTATCTCAATAATCAAATACAATTTAGCAATGCTTGTTTTGTTATTAATACAAGAATTGTATATATGATCAGAAACTTTTCTTATGTCTTTCATTGTATCGTAATTAAATATAGGTTAAGAATCATTAAAAATCATGCAATATATTTTAACCTTTTCGATTTCCTTTCTTCAAATTATTATTATTTAAAATGTCAAATAAGAATTTGTAGGATTTAACAAATGAATACATTTGAATAATATATTTAAATAGAATTCCATGATGTAATATATAGTTTAATTAGTAATTCTAATTATATTCGAAATCATGATAGATTAATTTGTTCTACTCTTTTTCTTTTCTCTTTTGAAGTCTTTTCTTCATTTATGCAAGTAGATTATAGATAGTGATTCTATTGTTTTATATTGTGTTTATAATCCGACTTATTGATCCAGATTAGAATATTATAGAAATACTACTTAAGTAATGCATGTTATCCATCAATTTTGTTTGTCAAACAGAAATCGATCAACAATTTTATGACTATAAAGTATAGAAAATGTTCGATTTCTAAGTTCTATTCTGGTTTCTTAAAAAATGTAAAGCAAAAAAACAGAATTCTATTGTGAAATAATTTATACATATAAAAAAATAAGATAATCAATCAGAATATATTTTATTATGACAGAGAAAAAAACAATTTTAAATGAAAATAATTCCCATGATTCACTTTGAATCTAATTAAATTTATTATATATACATATATATATAGTTCTTCGCTTTTTCTTTTCCTATCGTTCATTATTATTTCTCAAGTAATGATGATTGTATCACGCAAGTGTGAATTAACAGAGACTTACTTTTCCAATGCTTCCAAGATCCACCAATGGAACATGATGATTGAAAATAATATTTGGATTGTATTTGATTAATATCAATAATTCAAATTTTTATCTATTAAAATTTATTCTAAATTATGAATAAAGAAAATTAAACGAGCAAACAAAAAAAAAAGCACGAAATGAGGGGAAAGATATATATGTATACAACAGAATGAAATCTACAAGAAGAAAAAGAAAAAAAAAAAAAAGAAAAGAAAAGAATTTGCTATTGTAATTATTACACTTTTTTTTCTGAGATGCTTCGCATTTATCATTAGTACTTAATGAGTTTCCAACTAAGATTTCTTCCGCTGCCGCTGTGAATTAATGTTTTTCTTCACTGTGGTATGTGTCTATAAGCATGTTATACTACTATTCTACTTTTTTCTCTCTCTCTCTCTCTTACTCTCCTTTTATTTTGCGCTTTCATCCATTATATATCCATTTTTTTATCTATGAATCTACATGATTTCTCAAGAGACACCGTTTCGTTTTTGTTTTTCTACATGCTAAGAAATAGGTGTATCTTAATATGTTATGATGCGTATAAGTGCAAAAAAGACATACAGACAGACAGACTTGTTTATGATATAATTGCCTAAGATGCAGAAAAAACTTGATCGAATAGCGATTAGTACAATGAAAAATAAGGAAAAGAAAAAGACAGTAATGTGTATAGACAGTAGACTTAATAGTACTCTGTTCCTTTTTTTTCCTCTCTTTCATAACAGACTATAAGATAATTAAGTTTAGCGTAAAAAATCGGTAACGGACGAATGTAATCAAAAATTTTAAATATCCAACTAGAGTTTCTATTTTTGACATATATATAGATACATACTTGTTACGATAAGAGGAAGAAAAAAAAAGAAATAATTCGCATGAAATAAATAAAAGACTTGTATGATGTAGAGTCCCTAGGAAAATCAATCATTATTTGATTACAGCTCATTTGTGATATTAGTTGCCTTCCTTCACTATTTCTATAAACTTATTAGTCGACGCCAAGTGAACGCGATGCGTAGATATGTGTATGTGTATGTGTGTGTGTGTGTGCATGTTTCCTTATTCTATTTTCAGTCAACAACTATCTTTAAATGATGTTCGTGATCGTTAGCCGAGATTGAAAGAAATACTTTACATGCATATAACTATTTGTGTTGGTGTCTATCTTGCTCGAGAAAAAGACAACGCATTGAAAACAAGTGGGTAAACACACATTGTTGATAAACCACTTGATGAGTATGTTGCATTACTACTGCCGATTCTCGACTCGATAATAAACGAGAAGGAGAGAAAAAGAAGCCGACAAGAAAAGAACGAAATTCACACCGGAAACATCATGCAGCCTTAGAAAGAACTATCATCATTTTACTATCTAGGCAAAGACAATCAAGGCATACTTCCTTCCATTTGAAATGCACATTTTACTTATTGTATAAGTTATTCTACAAACAGGTGGATTTTTCTACTATGATCTACAAGCTTAGATATGATTGAGATAATACGCATCAAAATGCAATTCATCTTTTACCAATATTTCATATATATATATGTATATATATATATATAATTAAATTATTTTATGAATAGTTTTCTTCAAGAAACAATCAGAATAATTCATAAAAAACTAAACCAAGCATGTATCTTTTTGAGGAAAGTAAAGAGCTGGCAACACATTGATGTGTAAGATAAGGGAAATTGAATGATGAAGACTTCATCTAGACCAAATATAAAAAGAATAGAGAGAGAGAGAGAGAGAAAGAAAGAGAAAAGAAGATGAAGCACTAAAGTAGAAATCTTTTATACTTTAATAGCAGATATTTTTTGTTTGCATAAATAGCCATAATATAAAGAAAATGGAACTAGAATATAATAATAGATAAAGAGAGAAGTATTTTTTTTTTGTTCGTACATAATTAATATGATCGATGCTTAGACCATTACTTTATTGTTCATTTTTCAATGGCATATTATTCGATCGACATTCTAATCAACAAAATAAATTTTCTTTTCAACGAAGAACAAATAAAGAAAAGAAAGGAAAATTCTTTATTACAGATTAAATGATAAAAAATATTATTTTCATCAAATCTATTTTTTATGACATTGTTCAATTAATTATCTAAATGTATAAGAAAAAAAGATGAAGAATTTCTTCGCCAACTGACAGTTATGACATTATATTAATTATGTAATAAAATAATCATTGAGGTAAATGATTACGATTGTTGATTAAAACATTTGTCAAAGATTTCTTTTGACATTTTCAAAAATGTCATTTTATTTTTAATGTTACGTGCATTAAGAAGTTATTTTTATTTTTATTTTTTTTGAGTTTAATGATGAATACCAAAGAAAAAAAAAATAGTATAATCTATTTTTCAAGAAGAATGTTATTAATAAATATTCTTGTCAATATTTATGAATGAATTTTCTTTTATCATTACAAGATTAAATCATGATTACGTATCATTCAATCAATCAACTCTGACAACTAGTAGTTCTGCTATTCATTTATAAATTCAAATAAGATAAAATTATCACATTATGTCAGAAAAGATAATTCGACAAGAAGATCTAAATTTCTTATGATTATTATCAAATAAAACAGAAGAATTCATCAATAAAGATAAAATCAAATATTTAACATCATTGCATGATGAAAACAAAATATGTTGATAAATGTATATGAATTGATTCTATTGCTTTTCAATATTTAAAAGAACTAATTATATCATGTAATAATATGAAAAAAACAAAATTTCCAAATTTAGTTTATAGAAGAAAAACAATATCAAAGAAAAAAAGAAATATTGTGTCGGCATTTTTTTCTTTACATTTATTTATCTATTTTTAGTCATATTCATCGTTGTATTTATAATTTTATTTATAGTTCGTTCTTCATAAGATAAAATGAATACAACAATTTTTCTTTATCTTTTATAAATAATTCATTAAAAATGTTAAAATTAAGGGACAAAAAAAAAAAAGAAGATTTCCATCACCATTCGTTCTTAATTTGTTTTTTTGTTTATTACCAATGTTCATCATCCGGATGAAAAACAGGACAATTACAACCATAACATATACCTGATGACCAAGAATAAGTTGGACCAGGGTGTTCACATCCTCCTTTAGGACAATGTGCTAAGCATGCTGCTCTACAAGCGTCTTCACATCCATTGAGACCTGCGTCAACATTGTAGTCAACCTCACCATTAATCATCAATAAAGATAAACAAAAGATGAAGAGGGAGAAAATTGATAATAAACGCATTATGGAAAAATTATCCTATAGAAAAGAAAGGAAAAGAAAAACAGTTCATATTTAATAAACACAAAATAAATCATACCCACTAAATAATTATTGATCGAATAATGAAAATTCTATCACAGTAAATGGATATTGAAGAGCAATATATAGGCATGAAAAAAAAAGCTTTCTACCTACGCATCATATGCTACCCTAATTGTCGATTAAACAATCCTTTACAGAGATCGACACCACATGACAGAGTCATTAAAGTCTAGTATGAAAAAGTAGTCTCATTTCTTTTTCCTATGATACGAACAAATAGCGATTTGTTTAGTAGTAGATAATAATAACGGACATGATATTAGTGTGTTAAATTTCTAATGATATGATTGTCAGTTTTTATTCGATACATTAATATACTTTACACGAGATCGAATAGGAAACTCACAACATATATTATAACAATAATTAGATCCTTCTGTTGCCATGCAATCAAACTAAGGACAAATGATCATTTAGTTTATTTTTGTTATTGCCAGAGAAAAAAATCTAAGCATCTATTTATTGACGAAAAATTAGTCATCATCAAAAGTAATTATACGGAAAAAATCAATTCCTTCTCGATTCCGATCATTTTTATATAAGCATTAAAATCATGTCGAAATTTATTAAGATTTTTAAATAAATATGAAAAAGCTGAGACAATTTTGAATCGTTATTTCAGTTGCAAAGAAAGAATTCATTGAAATTTCAAATACTTTAAATAGTTTATATATTTCTATGTAGTTGTAACTTGTATTACAGTTTAATAAATTATTGTACTATACAATATACGAGAAGAAAGAGTAACGGCATATCAAAAATTCTCCCTTAAAAATTTAACTTTGACAGAGTGTGTGAGATATTATCGATGTGAATGAAGAGAATATCTACACCTACACTTTCATGCCATTATAGATTTCAAATGTATGTGTCTCTAGGATGCACAAGATTTGATTACCTCTGAAAAATATTTAATTTATTTTACAAATCTAATTCTACAAAAAATTTTAAGAATTGCGCTAGACATCATTATTTATCTACATAGTTTCAAAGATCATTCATAAAGCGTCCAAAAATCTTCGAGAATCAAAACTACTTTTATAAATTCGTATACTAGGCAACATGTTCATATGTTTATTGACAAAAGTCGAGCTTTCTGACGAAAAATAGTCTTTAACGGGTGGGCCATAATGAATAGGACTAAATATATATGTAATTTTTCTCTCATTTAAAGTCATACAAAATTTACAAAACTAAGAACTTCACTTTTAACAAGAATATTTTGCTTTTGCAAGACAGTCCAAACATTCATACATCCCGTATATTCTAAATACAACGTAGCGTTGCTCGTGTGTTATAAATAGTATAGAGGATCTTGAAGGTTTATATCAAAAGATAGAGAAATTTATTCTGTGTGTGGTTGATCCACTTTCGAATACTCGAGTTTTACTGGAGAGTTAAAAATTTCTTGACAATATCCTTCATGATGATCTTTTAAATAACGAAGTATTTTTTCTTTGAAGTTAAAGTTCAGTTGTAAAGTCCTTATCTGGACATTAAAAAATGCAGAATTTTGTTCTCTATAAGATTATGTAGATGATGAACCACAGTATAACATGTTTTTGCCAAAATTCATAAAAAACCGAGTAAGTTCCAACATGGATATAAAATTTTTTTTTTTCATTATTGTGTCTTGAATTATTACATGAAATTGTCGTTTTAAAGTTTTGAAATATAAATGAAAGATTATTTTTCTGTAGCGATGCCACACTTTTTTCGTTCATTTTAAGTTCCACAGCAGAGATTTACAGTGTATCTCAGTGTATTGGTCACTTCGCAATTAAAAAAAAGAGCGTTTTGTAAAAGTGAAGTAAACAATTTTGTACAGCTTGAAATTCTTCATCTTTTGATATATTAGGTGAATATTTTATATGAATAATAAAGGATTTAAAAATTTGCATTTACAATTAGCTCGATTCATTGTGGATCACCCGTTACAAATATCTTAGACTTGTTCTTTACATTCACTTTGACACATTCTTTTTGTTTTTTATCAACAGACAAATATGGACAATATAGAATGGTTTACAATTGTGAAGTAATAGTGGCCGGTGAAATAGAAATGATTACATAATATTTAAAAATTTGATAGATTACTTACAATTTGTTTTAGGAAAAAGACAGACATATATGTTATGTCGATGAAAGCAAAAGTTTTAATAGTCTTTGTCGATGTTGATATACTTCTTGATATGATTGAGGATACATAAATATTGGTAACATAATTGTTTCATGATCATTCATCTGATTATTTGATTTTGGTTTTGTTTGTTTCTGTTTACTATGTCGTTTAGTTTTTGTTTCTAAATTGAGATAAACAATTTTATTAATTGATGTTTTGTGACAAGAAAACAAACAAAAAAACTTACGTCGTTTTTTGTTACTTCCACTTCTTGATGAAGATTTTGATGAACCTTTCTACTATGAATATAAATTTAATATTATATCAATATGAAATTATTGAAAATCGTTTTTGTCAATGTTTACTTTTTTTAATTTAGATGAATTTCGTTTTCTATCTGACGTTCGAGATTTGTTTCGTTTTTTATTTGAAGTTTGAGATTTGCTTCGTTTTTTTGCTGTATTAGTTGGTTTATGTTTTTGTTTTGAACTTTGTTTATTTTTTTTTCTATGTTTTGAAGATGGTCTTTTCTTTGTTTTGGAATTTTCTTCACAAGAACAAAAAAAAATAATCGATTTTATTTATTGAAAAATATTTTACTTGATTGTGATGTTTTATCGCTAACAATAGTTCTAAAAAAATAAATTTGTCGTCTAATAATTATTAGATATATTGATTAATGACTTACACTTTGGATTTTTTCTTTGGTAATTTTATGTTTTCATTTAATTTCAATGAGCCTATTATATATAAAATGAAATAAATTGATAGAAACGCAATTATAAGTTTTTCGATGATTTTTGACTACAGAGAGGAATATATGCTGATTTCTAGAGAAGGAGTTTCTCTATCTACTAGTGTATGCATTATCAAATTCTACTACATACCATTGATATGTCAATGGTATGTAGTAAAATTTGATAATACATACAGTATTAGGAAAAAGCGAAAAATAATCGAGAAACTTATAATAAAAGAATAAAAGCTTTAACTCAGAAGAATAAGCTAAACCAATACAAAAAAAAGATGGAAGACTGTGTTAGACAACTGCGAATCGCTACAAAGGAGAGTATGTTTCTCTGTTTACATGCAGCATATGAACTAGAATTCTTTTTTCAAAATTAAAATTGTTAGATCCATAGATTTTCAGAGTGTGGGTGAGGTATTTACAAGAAATTGAAAATTTTTTGGTCGAACTTTCTTCACATCTCATAATCCCTTTACTTGTTTTAGCCTTTCTAGTCCCTTTACTGCTTTTAGTCCTTTTAATGTCTTTAGCCCACTCAGTCTGTTTATAACATTTTTTACAAGCATACACCAAGGCTCGAAACGAGCCATATTTTTATGGTTCGGCTTGGCTCGATGTGGTCTGGAAGTTATTTAGGTCCGTCCGGCCCAACTCAAGTTTTGCTCAGCTCAGCCCAGCCTGGCACGGATTCGAACGAAACTTTTTTTTACACATTTATTTCTTCAATAAAATTTATAGATCACTACAGTGGTTGCTTATGTACTGACGAGCAAATATCCGACCTTATTTTGAGTTTAATTAGCTTAGACTCTGAAACTAAAAATAACATTAATATACAAGAAATTGAATTGGTTCTTAAGTAAAACAAACAAAAATATCCAATGTTTTAGAACTCCATAATGCTCATTCTACATAGCGCGATATCCTCTGTGGTATCATATCTTAATTGAGTTACACTCGTGGAAAATTCACCGCATTTCTCAGTAGAGGTTTTTTTCTATTTTGGTCATACAGTGAGCTAGCTAGTGATCAAACGTGATTAGTGAACAAAAAAAAATTTATTGATACCTAAAGTTTGAAGATGAGCCTCCTAATTTAATCGTTTAGAAATTTTTCGGCTTGCTAATAGACTATGTTCTACTGTGCTCTAATTCACAATATCATCAACATCATGCAAACAATTTTCCATGGAATCCTGCACAAAATCCATAGAATTATCTTTTTTTCAGAAAGTGCTAAACTTGCTATGAATTCACTGCTTAATCAAAAGTGAAGGATTAGATAAAGTGTTGTTTAAAGCTCCAATGCTTGGTGACGGCTTATTTTCAGCACATTTTTCTACGAATTATTTCCGCTTGTTAATTAATACCATTTTTGCAACATAGAAATTCGCAAGTAGACGAGAAATATTGACTGAGTTAAGCAATTATTCGAGTTGACTGTATTAGTCATACATTCCAGAGACTTCAAAAATAAAAAATCACGAGTTTTATATCAAAAACACGGAAAATACTGTATTGTTGGTGAAGAAATGAACATTAGTTTTGACGTACTTCAAATTTATTCGACTGTAAGCAACATTTTAACGAAAGAAATAGAGCGACTGTAATTTTGAATCAAAATAACAGATTTTAATTGGCGAATACGGCCACTTTACTCAATGAACTTGGAAATACACTAAAAATGAGTTTTTGTTTCATCATTCAAAATGGCATCTATTTATTTTTCAAGTCATTGGATTGAAGCTTAGATACTTTTTCTATCATAAAACATTCATGATAATTTCGAGTTCTTAAAATGAGCATATAGTTTACTACAAAGTTGAAAAAAAATAAACGAAGCGTTGGGCTGGTCTGGCCTGACAAAAAGCATGGCACGCCCGGCCCAATGGTCTGGGTAACTTGGTTCGCCAAAAAGTTTCATTGAGCCGGGACGAGCGACCCGTTTCGACCTCTGGCATACATTCACAATCTCAATCATAACTTTGCATTTGCTATCATTTCGAAAGTCACCTTCACTCTCACCCTCACACGAACTAAAGAGATCCGAGAGACTGAAAGGATTAGAAGGACTAAAATAAGTAAAGAGTCTAAAAGGATTATGAGATCTGAAGAAAGTTAGATCGGAAAACTTTCGATTTCTTGTGAATCTATGGTTTGGGTGTGTAGGGGAGAGTGCAAGCAGACCCAAACTTACTCTTTATTTCTATTTTAACACGGTACTACCACAAAATTTAGAAGGACTACAGATAATTTATGAACAGATATTCTTTTATTTTTCATACAATTGAAAGTTTTTTGTTCTTTTCTTATAAATTTCTCGACTATTTTTTGCATCGACCAATTCTCGTGATGACTAATTTTCGTAGACTCCACTATGGGATGGAGGAAGTCTTTCTCTACAATCCTACCTATATTTTGTTGTGTGTAGTCAAACCCTTATGGTCGCCCTTAGAAAGACCTTTTCTTATACTTTTAATTTTTTGTTTGTTAGTATCAGTTGATGATGATAGAGAACTTATTTCTTCATTCGATGGTTGTGTTGTATTAAATGGAGAGGAAGGAAATTTATCATAAGTTAATATTGATGATTTACTACTAGAAGGTGATGATATAGCACTTATAGAATTCAATTGTTGTTCACCAATTCTATTTAAATAAATAAAAGAATATTTGTAGAAAAAAAAAAAAACTTATAGCAATGATTTTTCTTTAAATAAACCTTTGATTCATTTCATTTAATGCTTTTGAAATTTGTTTTCGTGTATTTTCTTTTGAATATCCGGTACAAAGACAATCTAATGCTTTTGCTTCAAGTATTTTAAGAATTAATGAATTGTATAGAGGATCATTAATATTATTCGATTTTAATAGATTTGAAACATTCATTTTATTAGGTGTCATACGATTTATTAATTTACGAATACTTCGTTTTAAACTACGCTTTTTTTGACGTCTATTCGGATCAGTATAACGTGATGATATTGATGGTGATGTAGAAATAAATGAATCACTGAAAAAAACAAAGAAAATTAATATTCACATGTTATTGAGTATCTTTTCTTTTATAAATCAACATTAGACCTATAAAGTTGTGAAGATTTTGAAGTTCTATGTGAAGCATTATCATAATTTTGATCATTATAAATCTGACGACGAGAATACCCATTAGGATTAATAATATTATTATGACGTCTATTTCGTCTCCAACGACGACAACAAGGAGTACATCGGTCTATCCAACTGGTAATTTTATCTAAAATAATTTTTGAAAAAAAAATAAAAGTTTTTTTTTTATCAAATTTTCTAGAAATATACTATTTAAATTGTTTATATTAGTCGTCGTTGTCCGAAATGGATATTTTATATTCGTTAAATTTTTTTGTTGTCGTATTTTAAAATCATGCTGTTCTTTATTAGCTAATAAATTTTCAATTCCATAACGTAATCTATATAATTCTTCTTCACATATGTTTCGTTCATGTTCGATTTGAGATATAGTCGCATTTCTATTAATATCACCAGCAGCTAGATCATAATTTTGATAATATTTAAAATTTCTATGTAAAGTTTTTGTTGTTATCGATTGATTAATTCCATTATTATTTTGATTTAAATATATTGAAATAGTCTTCATGACTGAGACAAAAAAATGATTTTTAACGACAACATGAGTCAGGAGGAATAGTCGCCGATATTGAGCGTCTTCATCTCCTCCTCTCACCAAGCGATCGAAGAAAACGCATGAAAAAAAAATTCAATATTTTATTATTATTGGCGCTTATGCTTTTAAATTTTTCATTCTTCATTTTTATTCATCTAATAATTCTTCTTTTTATTCTTCATTCTATTCATTAAACATAATGATCTCTACATCTACTGCTACTAATAATAACAATAAATTATTATTATCCGAATATACGAAAGCGAATGAATTAATTATAAATAATGATTATTCAAAAGCAAGTTCAGATAAAAAAAAATTTATACGAAAAACATCAATACAACCTTTAAAACGGCTCAAAATATCACAAACAGATTCAATTAATAAAATGATAACTACAACTAGTAATATGGATATGGATATTCAAATTACACAACAAAATCATAATAGACATTTAGCAGAAGAATTTTTCTATCAATTACATCCTTTCAGTGATTTAATACTTATTGTTGAAGGTATTCTATGACAAAAAAATGAATTTTTTTTGGAAAAAAACTTTTTTCCTTCTAGGAAAAGAATTTTATGTTGATAAAAGTGTCTTATCATCTGTATCAAAAGTATTTCAATTATATTTTCAAGATGAAAATATTAATTCAATTGAAATTGTTGATGTATTATCAAATGATATGATTGAATTACTTCAATTTTTATATCCACAATTTCAATGTACAATTACTTATCAAAATGTAACTGGATTACTTATCCTTGGTATGTTATCAATAGATTAATATATGAGGTTTTTTTTTCTTCGAAAATCTTTCTATATGAGCACTTCCTTATACTGAATACTGAACGCTTATTTTTGGTTTCATGCACAATAACAATCTTTGTAATATGAGCAACAATGTTCTATCTATAGCAACGGACATAAGTTTAGAGCAGATGTATTTTTGAGTTTTCTTCTCGATAGTAATAGCTAGTAAGAATCTGAAAAACAAACATTTGAGTAGCTGGAAAGATCCTCTGTTAGGATTGATGAACCTCAAAACCTCGAGAAAACTGCTTGGATGAGAACATATGAAAAACCAAATTACCACCCTAAAACCAGTTTTCTGGCATCCATTTGAAGCGTTTTGGAAATGGTTTTATTTGAGTTTCTTTATTGAACTGCATTTTATTTACGAAAGACTCCACCAGCATTTTTCTTTTATTGTTATAAAAAATTTCAATTGTTTCGCCATGTTTGATGCTTTGAGGTCTTCTATAAATTGAATGCAATTCAATGAAGGAACGTCATGGAGAGGGTTGAGACATCTTATTTAGCTCTATCTAATAATACCATTTCCAAAAAGCTTCAAATGAATACCAGAAAACTGCTTTTGTGAGTCTTGATTATCCAGATATACTAATCCAAGCAGTTTTATTGGAGTTTTTAGGTTCACCAATCTTGATAGAAGATCTTTTCGGGTATTCAAATGTACTTTCAAATACTTCCTAGGTATTACCATCGAGAAGAAAACTTATAAATACAACTGCTCTAAACTTTTGTTCGTCACTATAAAGCCTGATGTAATCGCCATAATTCGCGGTTATCACGGTCACGATCGTGATCGTTTCTAATTTTTCTTAAAAGTTCGCGACCGTAATTGGACTTTGGTTACAGTCATTAAAAGAGTCATACATTCTATATTTCTCTTAACTAGCTAGACGTTCCACAACACAAATGATCTTGTTTTTTTGCATAGATCTAGAATCTGCAACTATTTTTATATGCAATACGTGACGTATATGAACCATGCATAATATAATCATAATTTATATTTTGAACAATAACAATGCTAAAATAAATTAAGACTTTAGATGTATTATCCTTCTCGTTTAGCTTTGAGACGATACACAGGAATATCTTTGTTGAAAATTAATTATATTAGATTTCTCTTTGACAATATCTTTTGAATTGCAGTTAAGTTGTTCATTATTCGTATGATTAGATTAATATTTGTTACTTAATACATTGAGTCTCATAGTAGCAAAAATGCTACATATATTTTATAATGTTTTTCTGCATAACATAATTTATAAAAATTAGTATGTAATCTCTTAGAATGAAACAATAAAGAATTAACTGATAACTGGATAGATGCACTTCTATGGTGCTGTCTGTAAAAAGAAAAAACTTTCTAGAATTTACTTTGAGATAATATATATGATTTCACAATGAATAAGTTAGAAATCGAAAATTTTTGTCAGCAACGTTCTTTTTCTTCATGTAATAAAAAGATGACGCTCTTCAAAGAACGTGTTCTAGATTATGCTATAAAATTCCCAAAAGAAGTGTAATTAAAGAATGGTTCAGATTTCTCTTGTACTGCTTCTAAAGAAGATATATAACCGTTCACGAAGAAAATTCTAGAATTTTCTCGAATATTTCTTAAAATTTGTATGAAACTCACATAAAACCTTATATTGAATGTAAATTACGTGTGCGCACGCGCAAAGTATTCGTGTTATGCATCTTTCTATATCTAACATAACTTAATAAAATGACTTGCTTCTACTCAATCTAGCAAATTTCATTTAAGACTCAATAAATTAATATTAAATTGATTTTATTTTCTTCTCTTTCTCTTCAATACTCTGATTGGTTTTACTCATAGAATCGATATACATATAATGAAACTTCGTCAATAATACATTTAATAGTTTAGATAAATATGTCTTAACAAACTAAAATTAATTTCCGTAATTCATGGTCACAGGGTGTAACTGTTATCGAAAAACTTGGTAATGTCAAGCAATATTTCTATCACCCACGTACGGAATGAGAAAAAAAATGACGCTTTGTAAATTAAGTTATGATAAACAATTATGCGACACAGAAATAGAACGAAATAGCCTTGCATATTTAAAAGAAAAAAAAACTAATATTAGACAATAGCAATAATGCTGAATGTAACAGCCCGTCGTATATATGTTAACAGCTATAATAACATTAAAACATGTCAACACGTACTGATTTACTTCTGACACAAAAAAAAAAAAAATTAAATTTCAAAAGAAGAAAAAGTGCAATGTGGGCAACTAACAAGCAATTGCAATTGAAAAGTTATAACGAATGGCCCATAAAGAATTGCACTCTGAATATTTTGATTATATTTTTTTCTTCTTTTCAACTTTGAGGCCTGATTATTTTTCTAAAAGATCTGCCGTTATATTTTCAACAAAAACGTTACCAAATAATTTCTATAGAAAGATAAAGAGTAAAATTAAACAAAGAATATTTAACACGAAAAAGTAAAGAGGTTTTTTGAGTATCTTGAAATGAGCTCGTTCTCGTTATGCCATTTAAAGTTTGTTCAAATCAAAGTTATCATTAAAAAATCCAACATTCCGAAAAATTCAATTCAAAATAATCAAAATCTCTTGTCTTTTATTTTTTTATTTTTGTTTTTTTGCAAGTTAAATTTACACAAAAAGCTGTTTGATAAACTTTGGCTGCTTAATTTGATACAGCAGCTATTTCTCATTAAAATAAAAAAAAAACATCCGATCTCAAAAGATGCTATTTACTCTTTATTGTTCGACGTTTTTGTTCAAGAACTCTGAAAACTACAGGTTAGAATAGTTGAAGTTTTTCGAATGTCTCAAAGAGAAGAAAATCGATACTTATCCTTCTACAGAAATTAGATTGATAAAGTTTTTTTTATAGAGAATTTGACGGTACATCTTTTGCTTGTCTCAAAGTTGAAAAGAAAAAGAAAATTTATAGTCAAAATACTGAGAGACTTATTCTTTATGGACCAGTGGTTATGTTGCAAAACAGAAACTGAAAATTTCCCAATAATGAACACTTTTAGTCGATCCTGACTGTGTAATTAAAATTTGAGGAACTTCCAAAACATAAATTTTTTTTTGTTTTTAATTTCAGCTCGTCGTTTTGAAATAAATTTTATTTTAACAGCATGTCGTACATTTATTTTACTTTATATATCGAAATTTAATTGTATTCATACCGATTCGAATGGTATAAATTTAATTGAACAAGAAAATGGTTTACGTTTAACTATCTCATCTATTCTTGATATTTTATGTATATGGTATCGTGAATTTTTTTATATGAATGATCAATTAGTATGTGAAAATCTTCTTAATAAATTATCTCAATGCAATATTATAAATTTTAATGCATCGAAAATTTTTAATGATTTAGAAGAAAAACTTAAATGTAAAATTTTTCAAATACGAGCGAAATATTTAGAAATCTCACGTACATCTATTATTTCCGATGTTAACTAATACAAGAAAAAAAACAAACTGCCGTTGTCAAAGTTACATTTGTCATTTTCCCGTTTTTCTTTTCTTTTTCTTTTTTTTTTTTTTTTTATTTAACTATCTCTTCCTTTTCTTTCTCTTTCTAAATGAATCTATAAAAATAAAATGCAATAAAAAAAAACCTAGTTGTTATGTTCATCAAACACATATTCACCGTGTTAAAAAGAAGAAGAAATATAAAATATTTGAACGTCAAACAATAATTATGGAGTCATCAACAGCGAATCCTGCAGCATCAAATTTAGCAACACTTTTATTAGTCAAACGAAAACTAGCCAAAGAAAATGCTGATAAAATCGGCGAAGGACAAGTTTCACCAATACTTCCAGCTATTACTGGTGCTCATTCGAATGAAAAGTTACCTTATCGTCCAAATATGTCGGTAATAAATTCAACATCAACAACAGCAACAACAACACCTACAAATATGAAAGAATCACCAAAACCTTCTGGTCGAAAAAACAAACAACTTGAAGTAGAATTACTTGATAAAAAAATTGAAGAAATTAATCGTAAACAAGAAGTAATAACAAATGAAACATTAGTCACATGGAAAGGTTTTGATTCTCTTAATTATCGATTTACTGCGGAACCTGAAATACAAAAATCATCTCCTATTCCACCTATATCAACAAAACAAG